GCATTGTGCCCCTGCCGGCTGCGGGATAGGCAACGCGGTAGACGTCACGTCACGTAGCGCCCCACTATTTCCCCACGTCTACACGTCACGTTCGCTACATTCTGATGAATAATTTCGCTCACTTTTAAACGCGCCCGCGAATTTACATAAACGCCAGAATCCTCGCGCCTCCCGTCTTCGGCTCGATTCCTCGCCGCACAGTGGTCATTTCGTCACCTTCCAGGCAAAGTATCACAAGCGCCATGCGACGTTTAAAAGTTTCCACCGCTATTTTATTTTTTTACAGAGAAATAGTTGGTTGTAGTTGTCCGAAAATTTCACTGAATTTGTTTTGTGCTGCCCATAAAATTCAGTGAAATTTTCGAACCGATTCAACCAAAAATTTCTATGTAAAAAAATAAAATGGCGGCGAAAATTTTTAAACGTCGCATGGCGCTTGTGATACTTTGCCTGGAAGGTGACGATTTGTCCAATTGGACCAATTTAAAGGAAATAAGTAGCATGCAAACTCTGTGCACATAATTCCTTTGAGCACAAACACGTCGAATTTTGGGTGTTCAACATAACAAAAATATTGGAATGAAACTAGACCGCTATATAGGGTAAGAAATCAAGCAATACAACGCATGTTTCTGCGACAAAATTTCACTTAAACCCTGGTCTTCAATACGGAAAAATTCCTCACGCTAGAAATACGATTTCTGTTCCGAAACACGCACAAGTGAGAATTGTGTCCGCTTCATCGAACGGACGTGTAAGAAAGACCGTAAAGAGTAAATAGGTATTTTTGTAGTTTCACATTAGCACTAAAGAAAAACGTTAAACGGTGTTAAAAGAAAAATGCCCCTGATTTAAATAAGAACTCTCAGGCTAAGGAAATCTTTTTTGTTTAAAATAAAAAATTACTCTATGCATTTTTGTTTAATTCAACTGGATTTTTTTTTTTTTCCTTTTTTTTATCATCAATAAATAGAATTTGTGATGGAAGACAGACCTGCATTTTTTTAAGTTGAAAAAATATATTCATTGGTGAAAGAAAAAAAAAATCCGTTTTACAACCATTTTTTCAGTGTGACAAGAACCGATCGCACGGGCAGGGGAAGATCCCGTTGAACTTAGACTTTACTTAGCACCAAGGAACCAATACTTCTAGCTCATTTATGAAAGCACCAAATTGCATAAAAAAATTATTGGCAAATACGCTGTTTCTTGAATGCGGAATAACGGTGATCCCTCATTGCAAATGTGTTCCAATTGTGTCCACTGCGCGGTTTGGTGACTCCGAGGGAGTCACGTTCTGGCCGACTTGGCGGGGCTCTAGTAAACGCGGCTCTCGGCGTCCCTGCAACCCCCCACCCCCTCCCCCGCGCACCCGGATACTAGTTTATGAATGGTGGCTTTTGTTCCCCGGGAAAACGTTTTTCACGTACCTCACTTGGAGACACTATTGCGCCCACCTGAATCCTATGCTTGAATAGTGCTGATTTGGGAATTCACCGGGAACGCAGGAAAAATTGCCGCGTTTCTACCGCAGCCTCCAACCTTACTACGACGGGTTGCCAATACGGATCGCTGACGGAGGTCATCAAAAAACCTGACCGTTAACTTGAAGGGGGACAGATGGAATAACTAGAGAGGCCGCGCAGTGGATCGAGTCAATAGGAGAGGTCGGACAAAATTTGGAAGCTTAAAAGGTTCACAACTCCGTTTATACAAAATTGTGAGGTTCTAAAAATGGTTCCATTGATTTTCTCGTGAGATGTTCTTCTGGGAGCACTCTTTTAAATTTAAATTGTGACAAAATAAACATCAAAATTTGCAGTTTTAGTCAAAAATTTCATGTCCGACCTCTCTAATTATTGATGCGAATATTCCATTTGTAAATTGCATTTTTAATAGGAAACTTTCAGGCGCTTCTCATGGGAAATTTTAACAATTATTCTTCCGGTTACTCGTAAAAATTAGCAAAATTTTTAACGAGGCTTTCATTAAACTCTTGTAAATAATTGAAGTGGTTTCAACCGTTTATACAAACTTGGGTTGGTGTTTAGTTTCTTTGTCTTAGCGAAGAAGATTTCAGTTTGAAGTTTGATCTTGGTAAAAACCACATTGAATTACTTAAAAGGCAGTTTTAATCTGAAAAATTGTTTAGGAAAATATGGTGCAGAACACTCGATGTGGTTACGAGTTAGATTACATCTTTCCTATCTTCGGCTGTGTTGCTTACGTAGCCCTCGAAGTACCACTGTTGAAAAAAATGCCAACGAAACCAACATGAGATAGAAATAGAGCAAGGGCAATCATGCGCGTTAACGACGGCGCAGCGATACAACTATTCGTGCTTGATGGATGTCCGTGTTGCATCTGCAAAATTGAAGGCGCGATGGCGCGAGGCTTGAATTCGCAATGCTTTGCTCTATGCTGTCAGTGAGGTGTTGCCCAGATTCGAGATATTATGAACAACGAAGCCCAAATACGTTTCTCCAATTTTCGGCTGAGTTCATACTCGATTTCTTTATTTTTCTCAATTTCTTGTCTAGTCTTTTTTTCAGGATATAGTTTTAGACCCATATCTAGAAGCTCATATGTGCTAGCCCCATACCTACCCCGGAGGAGATAGTTGGTTCAATTTGACCCGGCTTGGAATTTCTAGACACTGTTGTCAAAAAAAGTCCCCGATACTCGATATTTTTATCCAATTTGACCTATGATCTCTTTTTAAAGATATATTTTTAGACCCACATATATAGCTCGTAAGTGCAAGCCTCATACAACCCACAAGGCAGGTTTTTAGGAAGCCTCAGATCGTTTTGATGCAGATTGGACATCGAATGCGTTAACATTTCAACATTTAAACTAAACTATTAAAACACGATCTGTTACTATGCAACTGATCAATTATTTAATATCCCAGTATTTTTGAGCCTGTCTTCCGATGGCGTTGAAACAATCATATCCCGACGTTCAAAGACTGAAATAGCTTCAAAAGACTATGGATCATTTCCGCCCTGGCGTGCAATATTAAACAGACCTTTACAGTTTCAAAAGGTTTCGAAGTTGGTTTGATCCTAATGCACGCCAGAAATGAATGCTTTTCCCTCGTGTCATCCCTCATGAACTTCAAATCAGACAGAAGTTCATCTGGCGTTTGATTCCAACCTTTCTCCGACTCAATTTGAAAATTACTCCGGCGGAAATTTTTCCGCTCTGATGAAGGAACGCTGAAAGTGGGTCGCGCGTTCCGTCAAGCCGAACATCAATCACGAACGGATTGTCAGCTTCAGTTTAATATTCTAAATAGAGTGTCGGGAATGGGAAACATATACTCGCGCTGCAGTGTTGCTAACTGGGCATGGAATTCGTAACAATGCGTCGCGATGAAATGGCGCCGAAGCTGACTTTCGACACACAATAACTCGCTGTATCTACAAAATGTAAGAGATTTTTTGAGCAAGGTCTTGCGGGACTGGATGTTAAAGTTCCACCAAGATTGTATGTGTTTATTTTTTTCTTTTACGAAAAGTTGGAAAAACTGGTGGGCACACTACCGAAAATGTTGCTAAGGAAGCACCGAGGAGGAAAGTCTATCAATGATGCCGCGGTGAAAAATAGAATTCCACCACATGCCAAACACGCTTTGGAAGCGAATGAGAGCAGTACATGAAATGGCAAAAACAAGAAACCGCTTTTACCACCTTTTTTAGTGCAGACTGGGCAACTAAGTGATTCACCAAAAATTGAGAATATTTATTCTTCGTTGTCCAAAACAATTTTCTAAAAATTGTGTGGAAAATATCTGAAGATCTGTACTTAAAAAAGTAAATGGAAGCGGGAATTTTGAATATTCACAAACAAAATAAGGGGTTGCATGGAATCATCGTCGTGGTGTTTGGAATGTTGCATACCTAACTAAACTGTAGGCGAGGTCGTTAGGTTGTGGGTTATGCATTACTTACGAGCGACGTCTAAGATGCCAATCAACCCTAAGATGATCTATTCAAGGAGCAGACATATTCATTACCACTGAAGATAAGTGCTGAAGGGAGGAGTCTCCTTCACTTTCAGTGAACGCAACCGGCAACATTCAGTGGAGATAATTCGACCGTCAAACAAGTAGAAAAAGTCGCGGGGCTCAAATAAGTCATCGGCCTCTCATACGTCGAGCAAAGGGAAGGGAGAAAGGCAAGACACCATATAAGCGGAAGCCTCGGGAGGGGAGGGGGCTGTGCAGCGGGTGGCGTTAATCAAGGGGCAGCGAAGGCGACGTTTGATTTATCGTGGCGAAGATCCGGCGGGATAAGTTTATTCAGGTGTGTGTGCAAGAATGCGTTGCGGGCGAACGAAGGCGCCGTTATTAATGTGAAGTTTTATTTGGTAACGTATAAAAGTTCGGTATCATTTCCGTGTCACAATTTGTGTCCGTTCTGATTTGTCAGGGAATTATAAATGACCCGGAGCCCGGGACGGCGGGCAGGGGGCGGCCATCGGGCCCAACATCAATCCATCAAATAACTGCTCCGGTTCGGAAAATACATTATATTTAATTCTTGGTTTCTCGCCGGGTTTCGGTCCAGCCGACCTCTCTTCCCTCCCCGAGGATCCCTTCTCCGCGCGTTTAAGTGCTTCTTTATCTCTTATCCCCGTGGCTCCGGCCCTGCGCTGCTATTTTTTATCCCTGTAAATGCTGTCACGTTGAGTTAGAAAACCACGGTCATCAAAGAATTAATACGGATGCCGTGTGTTTCGATTCTGCATCCAAGCGAGCTACCTTTTCCGTGTTATCAAACCTGCAGCCTCGTCTCGTAACTTACGGGCTGTCCATAAATTACGAAACGCTGTTATTCCCATTTTTTGACGGCTCCTCATTTCTTACAACGCACCCCTAATACTTGTCCAGCAACCCCCAACATATTGACGTAAGATTATCTTCGATAAGCCCCTGCCCCCTGTTTTAATACAACTCAAATAATTAATGACTGATGATTGATGATGGCTCTTACCTCACAGTGAGATTGACTAATATTGCTTAAGTTCAGTTTATATACATGGTCCCTGGAACAGAAAATAAAACAAAGAAATTAGCACATGAAAATTAGATAACAGTCATGATTGCACAGCTAAACATAAGGACGTAATTAGAAATTCATGGATACCGTGAGGGAAATAAGCGTGTTGATGAAAGCATATAATGACAGTAAAATCTATCTAGGAGGCATCCAAAAAGCCACTTTTTTTTCATGCAGAAAAACCAGTTAATCACCTTTCGGTAAATTATGTGTTTTCTTTTTTCCCCCATTCACTGGGGGAAAAAAGAAAACACATTGGATCTAGAGTCCAGACTCTTAAAAACATCGACAGGAAAAAATACTCTTGATTCAATCAGAATCTAGCTTAAATTAAGAACCAAGCCTCTTAATTTAAGCGAATTTCGTTTTGATTCAAGCAAAAATCCGATTGAATCAAGAGTATTTTTTCTTGTCAATGTTTTCAAGAGTCTGGACTCTACATCCAATGTGTTTTTTTTTCCACTGTTCTTGATAACTCCGATATCCACGAACAAAATTAAGAAAAATTGGGCCTATTTCGAAAGAATTAAGGAATAATTTGGTTGCAAAACCGGGAACCAGACGTAAAAAACGAGAGGAGCTGACGGCGAGGAAGGGTGAATGGATGCGGAGCGGAGAGGAGGGAGAGGCGAAAGCTCACCGCAACGTAAACTGATCAGACTGACGAAATGTCACGTCTTTATACTTATCGTGTCGGGTATTATCCCAGGAGAAGAGATTACCCCGCTTTTAACTACTGCTTATACAAACAATTAATTCTCCGCCATTACTCCCTCTACCACCCCGTCCCTCGCGCCGCTTTACTTGCTCACTGTCAGCCTCCTCGCATCCTCTCTATACACCCTGAGACTTAATACACACTGCCACTGCCAGCTAAGGAAGAACGCCATATGAGCATTCAGGCGCTGCCATATTTCCTTCAATAAGAAACGAATTTACAGAGTAAATCAGGAATATTTTTCCTCTAATTTTTCAGAAAATTTTGTTCGCAATTCAATCTGAAACATCTGAGAATTTCGAGGAAAAATATGCATAACGTTTATCAAAAACACTTGTTATATTCTGGGAAATTTGGCAACTTTCGAATGTTCACGCGGTGTTCTTCCTTAGCACGATAGAGCAGTTGGGTCATTTCACTCATGAAGGAATATGAACTAGGGAAAGGCGTGTTTGATTCACTGCTCCCGGATTTCTCAGGGTTTTACTTTTAGTCGTTCCTTAAACAGCTCATTTCTTTGGAAAGCCCGACTTTGTTTACATTGTCATTAAGAGACGTTTAGGAAAGCCCTCAAAATAGCACCATAAAAATAAATATTCTTGCAGACATGCGGTATAACTTTGAAAATTGATCCTTACAAGGAATTCCAATGATTTATTACTGCAAAAAGTACAAAATGCGGATGAAAAAAGTTTAAAATTTTGACGAACGTTAAGATGGACGCGAACCTATACCTTAACATTGGCAAGACTCGGTGTATATTCTACATCATGTTTTGCATTTTTTTAAACGGGAGATTCGTGGAATTCCTTGCAATGATCTATTTCCAAAGTTATACTGCTGAACTTTACTTGAGATTAGCGAGAATGTTCCTTTTAATGATGCTATTTTAAGAATCTCCTCGAAGCTACCTTGACCAAATTGTAAATTAAGAGGGGTTTCCTGAGGAAAGACGCTGCTAAAGAAATGAAACAGTGTAGGATACGCACAAGTTTATCTTCGTCAGAGACAAGACGCAAAGTTTTCCGATCAAGTATGCTTTACTCTGACCAAAGCCGCTCTTGTACGGACAAGAGAAACGCGGCTTCGAGGAGATAAGTTTATTCCGAGAAAATTAGCCTTTGGAGTACGTAAATTTACATCAACGTCACAAATTCGACCATCTTAAACAAGTTAATAACACAACGGGATAGGTACTAGAGGAAACTTGGATACGAAACAAGATAAGCTAATCCTATGGCTACTTTTTCCCGTTGGCAACGGAGGGACTAAAAGTTCTTTGGGCTTTCAAACTTCGACTCCGAACTCCTCGTCATTTTTAACTGAGTGGAATCGACGTTTAACGTTGAGTCACGGCTTAAAATCACAGACGAGGCGGGACCTCTTAGGATAAAGAAGGGTCTGGGAATGCAAAATTCGATGAAAGTGAAGCTGGTGGGAGATGGATGCTACGGGCCGAGTCACGTCACTTCCAGCCGCTTAACTTAATTCGCGATGACTGATGGCACTCACTTCACTTCAGAGGCTCAAATCTAAGTTTACGGCGGAGATGTGACTTATTGATCTGGATTGCCGATGTTGGCCTCGTCGGAGGCGCATCTAAGGTCCAAACTTCAAGACAAAAAGCCTACACAGGGTGATTCGTAAGTCCCGCACCACCCCTGTAACCCTCAGAGTTCTTGTTCTTTTTTCAGCGAGGTCCCTTGAAAATTTTGGTGGTTCAAAAAAGTTGTCTCTGTAGACCTCGAAGTACTCACAAACTTTCAAATCTCACCTCAATTTGTTCAAAAGTTCCAGGGGTGAAGCTTAGTGTGATGGTGTAGGACTTTTGAATCACCCTGTATGCTCAAGACTTTCAAGGATATTTTGAGTCGGAGCATATTAAAATTTCGGTCGTAGAACTGAGGGATGAAATCTCCATTCTAGAGTGGTTGTGTAACGTTTGCGCACACTTTTCATACCCACACAGTTATCACGAATATCATCCAAACACTCTTTTACTGAAACCGTTTGCGCATGCAGCGATTGGCGAAGCTGCCACACAATAAAATGCACATCGATGAACTTCTAAACCATTAAATATAGACAAAGTAGTAAACGAATAAAAGTTTAAAAAGCAATAGACTAGGTTTCGGGAGTCTTTAATTTTTAAAGAGGAATCTGCTCTGGAGAAAAGTCTTATTATAATGCAATAATGCACCGTGCGAACAGTGAAGAGCCACGTGTGGCAGGCACGCTGCAGAGTGGTCATAGCATAGCGTTACGGAATAGTGCAGTGTGTGCAAAAAAATATATTTGCATTTGTGTGTAAATGGTCGTGGAAACTTAGCGCAACATTAGCGGTAGGTATAGAATATTTACGCTAACGAAAGAGGCCTCAAAGAGTGAGCAAAAGTAGCAGCGCAATACTAAAGAATCTCTTTCGCGAGTCTCGTGATGCTCCGTGTTCATGGAGAAGAATGCATTGAAAGTTGCATACATTCACTCAATGAAGGCGTTTTTAATGCGTTGCAACCGCGGCGCGGCGCGGCGTGTGGTTCTGGGAGAGAATACCTCTCCATCACACGACGAGGCTGAGAGAGAAACCGACAGTCAAGCGTAATTAATAGCATAATCGTTAAACTTAAGCGATTTTTTTTTGGAGATGTTTGGGATTTAGTGCAAAGATGGCATTGTGGATCCGTCTTGAATAATTTTGGAAGAAAAAAAAATCAACTTTAAGATTGAATCCTTAATTTGGTACAGCTTAACACCTCGTGTAATGATAAAACTAGCTCAAAAGCGTCATTCTACAATTTCGCTTCTGTAGTTTTTGTGATAATTACGATGAGGAACGAAGATTTTAACAGAACAATGCATATAGACATTCGTTGAGGATTATCATTTTCTTGCCATGGGAGAGTCTCATTCCAGAGGCGATGATTCTTCACGATTTTGATACCAAAGTTTCACGCTCATTCTGTTTTTCCTCTCAGAGTAAGAGAATCGACAATGATGGAAACGAGGTGTTGAAAAAATTACGTTAAAAGGGAAAAATTTGCGTGTGTCGTCTTCATGATTTCTTCCTTTAAAACAGTGAAAATTACAATACAAAAGCAATAGATAAGATAAAGATTCGAGGTGTTAATCATCAATAATTCACTTTCTTTGGAGTTTCATCAACACCGGTTTGATTTCTGCAAATCGAAAGGCACCCTGAACCTCGGCTGAAAAACTGCACTGCGATGAAATAGCGTAGACGCTCCCTGATGTACGTAGATTTACGGAGCAAGAAACGGGAGAATCCCGAGAAAGTTGGCCATTTACAGTGTGTATGAGCTGCGGTGAGCATGGAGTAAGTACCCGGTGCTTATCCGTTCCTGCGTTAGCACTGGCATAACAAATGCGCAAACTTCAAACTAATGCTGTTTAGATAAGAATTCAAAAAGAGGAAACTCCCGTGTCAGGGGCCCGCGAGATTTTTCCCGGGCGATATTTTACATGTGTCGGCTTAAATTTGGCCGTATTTATGCTAAAACGAACTACGTGCATAGCGGTTGCGTGAGACATAGTTCCTTTTCGCATAAATACGTTCATTTCGCCCTCCCCGAACGGACGAATAAATTTACTTCCCCCGATAAACGAATGCGCGGTAACGGTCAGATTTAAGCCAAGGCTCCCCGCCGACAAATCCCTGTTTGTCATTTATCCCTCTTTACGGCGCGGCTCCCCGAAATGGCCTGCGGGGAGGCATTTTTATCCCCCGGATTCCATCTAGTAGCATATCCGTGTCCGATTCCACCCCACCTTCATCTGGGAATCGGAAATTCGCGTGTAGCGCCATTCCGCCAGAGGAGCCATTTCCTCCCGTAAACTACCCGACTGGCGTCTTACGGATGTGAAAGAAATCCAGGGACTGGTGGTAAGTTAGAAGTTAGCGACCATTTTGTGCATTTTTTGAAGACGTTACCAGTCGCAACACGATACATTTCTGATTTGTAGGAAAACGGTCGGCGGTACAGAAATCCGAAACTACTGCAAAGTACAGCCACAGCGAAAATAGGAAATTTCTAAAATGTTTAAAAACTCTCAATTAGCGCATTTGCAAAGTCTCAAATTAATTCAATGAGCACAAATTGAACTACATTTTGCAATTAGGATCTACAATTTCTGGTTCAGTTTAAAAACAACATATGTACCATGAGTTTCCCTTGAGGCATATGTGTTCTTACGGTTGAGCCGGAAATTGCCGTTCCTGATTGCAAAATGTAGTACAATCAAACAGTTGA